GCCCTTTGAGTAACTTATCGCGAGCAGAGTAAATCACATGCATCTTAAATTCCCAATTTTCCTCCTGAGATTCCTGATTTTATTTGAGCTGGGAGACTGGAGCACCAACGGAAGGGAAGCGCCCAGCATTCCCACGGTGAGCTCTGGTTGCTGATTTGCCTGCATTCCCGAGAGGGCCTTTTACTACATCCGGGGGCCATTCCTGTGCTCTGGGCATGACTTCCAGTGGCCTGCTGCCCCTGCCCTGGGGTATGGGAGCCACTTCCATGGCAGGTGCAGAAAGATGCCAGCTCCTAGGGCCCCCTTCTTCCCTGAGCCAGAGACTGACTTGGCAGGAGGGTGAAAGCCCAGCCCCCTCACCTAGGATGCTGATTTCACTCGGAACTTCCCCTGGGATCGGGCAGAGATGGACTTGGCCTTGGTTACCATGGTGCCCTGGCTTTCTTCCTCCCGTGACTTGCTCCTCTGTACCCCTTTGGGTTACCCCAGGAGGACTTCCTTAACAAATCGCACATGTATCTTGTCCCAAGTTTTGTTTCTAGAGAACCTACCTAGGACAAGAGTGCAGTTTCATGGCTGCCTAAGGCCAGCTTCTTGCCACGAAGGACAAGACAAGCAGGTCCTCGCCTCTGGCCTATAGTCTTGCAGGGGTTAAAATGGTCACAGTTGACTTTGCACAGCTGGCTGTATCTCCAGGTGCCATTTGCCCACCTCTGGGTAGGGACAATGGGAGCACACCAGAGGCAACCATGTTGGCCATGTTGGGCTTTACCTGCGGGTCTCTGAGCCCATGTAGTTCTGGGAGGTTCTGAGTCCTAACAACTGTCATAGCTCTCCAGAAATAGCTTTCTATCTAACCCGACTTAAGCAGAATCTATTCAAAGGTAAAAATGTATTTTTTTTTTCTCTCATCACACTTCAAGGTTTTTTTATGTCTCAACTCAAGCCAAGATGGGAATTGGAAGTACTACAGCATTTTTTTTTTTCCCTTTTGGAAATTATTCTTGGGAAATGGGGCTCTTGAAGATGCTGGTGCTTATAAACTTTTCTACCCAGTACTCAGCTGTCTTCTCAGAGATTCATATAGAAGTGCAGGTTTTAGATGTATGATGTGTGCAGAGTTGAGACGTACAAGTCTTGCTTTCCATTAACTGGAGGAAGGAAGAAAGAGGGGTGGGAAGAAAGAGAAAAGGTAAAGAAAAGGAGGGAGGGAGAAAAAGAGAGAGGAACGGGGGAGAGAAGGTGGAAAACAAGATGATTTGGTGATTATGTTTGGTTTTATTTTAGGCTGAAAGATCAGTAACATATTCCATCTTCAATTGCAAAATGATTAGCTGTTTCATGTGATCTTATTCAGTAAATCCCAGGCCCTAGCCCTTATAACCATGTTAAGAAACAGATTTTACTCCCTGGATGGGACGGATATCGGGGGACAAGATATCATTGTCAGGACTGAAAGTTTTCTTATTTACCTCAGCCTCAAAAATTCCCAGAAACCGACAGATCATTCCATTATTAAAACACAGAAAACAAAGTCTGTCCCCTGAAACAGATGTCTCAGAGAGGGTCATTATGGAATTTTCATACTCACTATCAAGCCCTCTAGTTATGCCTTTCTAATGTTTCACCTTCTTTGGTGAATGTGGTCACATGGGCAACCCTGAGACCTAGTGGTTGGTATGTCACCAAATGAAAACAGGTAAGCGCCACCAAAGTGAACAATATTGTCCTAACATTTAATTTTTTTATGATATTCGTGCTACTTAGGCATCATATTCTTCTTGTATCATCTTCAAGGCTGTGTCATGAATGAATATCAGGTCTTCTGTGCATGATCCTGCAGAACACAAACTCGCTAGAGTGCTAAGCTATGATCATATTACTTGATGCTGAAAGGAATGTACACATGCATATGTATGCCCACAATAGTCTAATTTGAGAAAAATGTAGAATAATATAAAGTGCATGGACTAAAAGTCAGAAGAGCTGTTTTGAGCCTGAAGTCATAGCTCTGTAGCTCTGTGACTTTGGTCAAATCACTTACCCTCTCTGTCTGTAATTTCCTTGCCCTTAAAAGATGACAAATCATGTTTATATTTTGGTCTGAGGTCAAAGTAATAATGTCTTTAAAAGTCTTATATGGTGAGAGAGGATATTCAATGTTAATTTGCTAATTGAAGCTGAGTCTGGATATAGTCATCAAATAAAAGAAGGTAAGAATTAAAGTTTGATTATAGTAAATCAAATCCTCCATTTACAATCTTTCATCATTCCACTTGGCAAATGTGTGTGTGTGTGTGTGTGTGTGCTTTCTTTCTTTTGAGGGTCCGTGACATGCCAGGTATCCCTGGAAGCTTGAACTGTGATGAGGATGAGGTTGGTAACCAGGACAGCTATGGTCAAGCTCCAAAATGGAACACAGACAGTCAATGACAGCGTTTGAGGGGCTGCTAAATGCCACACAAAATAGAAAGGCGTGCTGAGATGCAGGATCGGTTTGGGGCCCCCTCAGATGTGGACCTCCTGGACAGGTGCCATGTGGGTGAAGACCTGATGGGTGATAAGGAGTTGGGCCGTGAATGACGAGCAGAGAGAGGACATGTGGGCAGAGTTGTCTGGACAGGGGACATGTGAGCGTGTCACTGTCTCCTCTGTGACAGACACCTTGCTCCTCCTGACATAACCTTTGCACCAGCCACCTCTTAGGATTTACTGGGATCATCGAACATTCTGCTGCAGGAAGTCCAGGAAAGCCTGCGCTCCGTGGACTGCCCGACCTGGTGGCTGCATGAAGACCCCTGGTGTGGGAAGGATCTGTAGCTGGGCCATCGAAAGACACTCACTGCCTGGTTTACAGGGGACCCCAGAAGATCCCTCCTTAGGCATCTGCACCAAGGATGTCACCATTCTCACAAAAAGGCTGGACCCTAGGTAAGTCCTGCATGAATCCCCAGCCCCATCCCCACGATCCGGAAGAACCCAGTTTTTCCTATCTATCTGTCCAACTATTTTATGTGGGGTTTTCCCCCCCAATTAGGGAATAAAAAGGCAATAGAAAAATCAGAAAACAATGTTGCCCTCGGTGACATTGGGCTTAGGCTTCCTGGCCCAGGTTTGGCTCCTGCGGGTGTGCCCTGCTTGCCCAGGGAGGTGGGGAGTTCTGTGAATATGCATTTGAGGAGAGGAGAGGGGAAAGACGGCAGAACAGAACTGGAGGTAAGGGAGAGCTTGCTAGGAAAGGTAATCTGGTTATTTATTTGTAGTTTACTTAGGTCAAGGGACCTTAAAAATGGCTTTGATAAGAGTGGCCAAGGTTTCTTCAGAGATTAACTGGCATTCTTTAAAAAGGGCATCTGCCCTGTTTTGCACAGGTGTCTGGAGAGCCGGGGACTGGGTGCCCTCGGAATCCTGTGCTGAGCTGTAGGTTTCCTTAAGACCTGCAGACACCGCTGACATCATGGACTCCATTCTCAGATTCCTTCTCTCTCTCTCTCTCTCTCTCTCTCTCTCTCTTCCCTTCCTCCCTCCTTCTCTGTCCCTCCCTCCTCCACTGCCCAATCTCTCCCAATCTCTTTCTCTCTTCAGTTCCTTCAGGTAATTCCTCCTCAAACTTGTACCAACTTGTTTTTGACTGACAGTGAGCAGTGAGGGAGTCCTCTTCCTTTGGAGAAACCCTCAGCACCCACCTTCCCCAGGGCAACCTGCGTCCACTGAGCCTTCCCTTGGCTGCCACAATTCCACGTCTGTCCAGGAGCCTGCGCCTTCCATCTCTGCAGGTAAGAGGCACACGCTTGTGCCCACGCTGGGGCGTGCAGCGTTTTAGAGGTATTTTTGAAAAACTTTCCTTCTAAAGGCAATGAGAAAGTTGAGATTCTTTTGAAACTTAACTTAAATCATTCAAGACGTCCAAGCTTATCTGGGGGAAGTTAACAAGTGTTGTTTGCTTGTGGAAAACGGGTTTTTCCCTTAATGATGGGGCAAAGAAAAAAGAGCACTTTATTCTTGCCTGTGAAACAGTATCCAGATGTTGTCTTGCTTGCCGCGGGTGTAAGGGGTCTAGATCACGGGAGAGGAGTGACTTTGACTTCTCTCTGCAAGTGTTTTTCTATCACAGCGTCTGTCGGAGCCTGGTTTTCAGCGATTCTATAGCTCTTTGGCTAATTCTCTAGCAGTCATTTTCCTTTGTCGGTGAAGAAATCAGTTTAGGTTGCCGTAAGGCGAAACCTCATGGGAATATTTTAAAATCTGTTACCTATCCTTATGAGAAAAGAGGTTACGTAAGCCTTCTGTGGTAGGTATAAGGAATGTAAACAGTGCTGACTTTGGAAACACTGTGAACTTCGTCCACGACCCATTGATAATGCTTTTTATAATCTGTGTGTGATTTCAAGCGAGTTTGGACTATTCTGAGCTAATAAATGTTACCCTGGGTGAAATTTCCCCGTGGTTCCTGTAAAGCCTACTTTGTCCCCTCTCTACTTCCGCATTTCGTTGCCTGAAGGAAATCAGAATTTGTTGTTCCGCAGACGTTCCTTGACCTCACAATTGATTTCAGTTACAGGTTAGGAAACTTACAAGAAATGCAATACTTCAACTTCAGGGAACAAAAGACCCCAAATTTCTACTGAAGTGATCAGGTTAACTTCTTTTCATCTAAACATATCTTAATTTCCCCCACTTGACCTGTCAGAAGGATTTTTGAAAGACTTAGGAGTGACTCTCCACGTTCCTTTCCTGCAACCCCCAAATCCCCCACTCTCTCCACACTCACACACAGTGGTTGTCCTTCCAGACTCTTCCCCGTTTTGTCCCTCGTGAATGTTTAAACAACTAGGTCACAATCAGTCACAGCCTTAGGTGATAAAGCCTCTGCAAGTTAAAATTGCCCTAAAACTGAAAGAAAATGTCACATGAAACTATAACACACTTTTCAATGTCATCCTCTTGTGAGAACCAGATAGATATTGGGGAGACTTCCGGCTGAGCCATCAAGCACTCACCTTGGAGCTCCAGAGCTTGCTCTTGCCACACCTTCCTGGGGGGTATCTTTCAGCACTTTCCTCATCCCTGGCTGTCTGTCACATGATGGACGGCCATGCAGGGGGCGAGCCAGGGTCAGCCGGTGCTCTTCGCAGGAGGCTGACGAGTGAGGGGTTGACCAGGCTGCTGGGTCCTGCCTCAGAATGCTCACCAGGTCTGGAGCAGCCTTTTCTTCTCTGGATTCAAGAGATGCCGAAGTGGTTGGGGAGCTTTGGAGAACAGTGTTGGTGGCGTTTTTTATTCTGGTTGCTTAAGAAAACATGTTTCTGAAAAGCCCTCCTCCCTTCTGCCCACTCCTTCCTCCCACCCGGAGTTGTGGTCATTTTTACACAAAGTGCTATTTCCCCACTTTCCTCTCCTCACACTTATAACCAGTGCAGACAGCCTGTGTTTTGGGGGGAAGAGAGAGTGGGACCCCAGGCTTCACGTGCCAGCAGTCCCCAGCCAACAAAAGCAGGTCTCTTGGCTCCTTCCCCCAGGGTTGAGCATGCCCCGCTTGGTGCTGCACTGCGCTGCGGAAATCCTGGACGGCTGCCTGTTCTTTCTTGGTGTGTGTGTGTGTGTGTGTGTGTGTGTGTGATTATACACCTGAATGATAGCAACACGCTGGATATAAGAAAGCCCGCACATGTGTGCTTTTAGCACCAAATAAAGAGGCGAACTTTTCTGATTTAGTAAGCGAATGTCCAGCCCTTCACAGATCCCTTCCTGCCCAGTCCCTCCCATCTGTTCGAGGCATGGCACAGCCCCCTGACATTTTTGCACATGTTGCTTTGGAGTCCAGGGTTAAGTCCAGGGTGTATTTGTATGTGCATCAGTATCTCGGAACCAAAAACCAGTCCACAGAGTGGGCAAGGCACAGCTGAATGGCCTGCCCCTGGCAACACTGGTTGCAGGGCACACCCTCCCGAGTTGCTTCCTCGTCTTTAATGCACAAGTAAGGACCTCCTGTCCTCCCCTGCAGCACTTTGAGCTTTTCACACCAGAGTAAATCCGGTATCTTCAAACGTGTTGTTTTAATTCTTCTTTCAAGTAAAAATAGCTCCACTCCAAAAATAGGAAGCTATTGCAAGGATTAATGTTAGCTTTTATGTTTGTAAAAAAGCTGGTTGATTATTAATGGGCAAATGCAAGAGGCAAACCAGACAAGGGTACTGTCTATGCTCTCATGAGCTCTTCACCTCTGCTCCCCAGGAGCCACCAGGGTGGGTCTTGCTCTGTTCTCTCAAGGACACAGTGCCCTGGAAGGGAGCAGGTGTGACCCAACACACCTGGCTCTTTGTTACCACTCAGGTAACTTCCTGGTTCCTGTTCTACAGACAGGTTAAGGAGCTGTGTGACCAGCAGCCCTTCAGAGGTGAGTCCTAGAAGTCCCAAAGCTTCCCTAAAGTAAGCAGCAAAGAGACCCTGCTCCCCATCTTGAAAGGCGGGATTGATGGCAGAGAGAGGGAAAGAGAGAAACAACAGTAATAATTAATAATTTTGAAATAAAGGCTCTGAGAAAGAAGTTTTATTTACTAAGTGCTACTTTCTTAGATGAAAGGGGAAAAAACAAGAACACAGACATTCCTGATGGAAGACAAATGACAAGTGACAGATGTAACCTCCACCAAATGCTCTCTGGACCCGTTCAGACCATGGAGGGCCCACTCCTGATCCAACTGGGATCCACCTGGTGCAATGTGCCACATTCCCAGGGACTCGGTGGAAAACATTGATGCTCTTCCTGTAAAAGAGAAGGCCGGGCTCCGTGAGCGAGTAGGTCCAGCTGTCCCTGTGATGGGCACTGTTCTTTCAAAGCCAATGGCCCCGGAGACCCCATTTGACTGGAGAAGTTCACCCAGGCCTAATTCCAGAACACAACCTGGGTTTCTAGACCTAAAGTTCTAGAGCATGAAATTCCAGATATTTCAGCCACACTCTGAAGATGGATCAGAGTGGCCTGGTCATGCTCACGTCACACACAAGAAGAAAGCAAGCTGTCTATCTAAGTACAAAAGTGCACGCCAGCCTGTCCCCCACCCCATGCTTGTCCAGTAGGTGACAGTTAGTGAAGAGCTCTCTGTGTCCCCTCGGGCCTGAGGAGACCGTGGAAGCAATTAGCAGCACAGGGAGCGGAGCGGTGACTTTGTTGGTCCTTCCCCATGACCCTGCAGTTCCAGCCGGGAGCAGTCCAGACTACAGTGATATGATTAAGATAAGCAGGTCCTGGGCTGGTGGAAGACAGTGTCACCCAGAGGCCGGAGTTCAGGGTAATGACAGCCTGAGCCTGCCACGTCACTAACCACTAAGGCACCAGGGCTGATGATGAGGACCAGCACCAGGTCTCGGGGTGCTGAGGGGCCCAGCTGGTTTCCCGTGGGTTCCATCCACATCCTGTTCCACTCAGAGCTGCCCTGGTGTTCGGCTGATGGTTGTGAAATTCCTGTGCATTTTCTCTAGTGCTTCTACAAGAGGCTGATTGAGATTTGGGAGCGCTTAAAAATTATACAGCTTTTTCTTCAAGGAAAATGAGTGCAAAATTGTGGATGCCAACTTGGACAAGGCTCTGGAGAAGAGAGAGTTCCATCAGCTTCATGATCAAGCCATTCTGTATCTCACAAAACAAGGCCCCAAACGTGTTTCTTGAATGAAGGAATGAATCAATTTTTGCAAGCTGCTGGTTACTCAGTAACTCTGAGAAATGAAACGCCAAAATGCCAAGTAATTGTACTTACCCGTATCTAATGATCAGTGATATATGAGAGCTCAATCCTCACGGTGTCTGGGATACTGCACGTTGCCATGAAGTGTAGATTCCTATCCTCCATGCAACCTTAGTTCTTATCTAGGCCCCAGGGAAGGATGCTATCGGAGCTGTTTTCCTAGAGCAGAGTGTGTGGGCATTGAAGTTAATGGTCCATGCTCCTCACTTGGAAAGCCCCTAACTTAAAACCCCAAGAAGGGTTTCCTAGTCATGAGCTGAGCACCAGAATGATATTAGAGAATCACAATATTCTCCTTGAATGGACTTGGAGCATGTGCCCCAGCGTAAGATCCGTGTGTCTGGCAAGGTGCCCCCTTCCTCCCCTTTGGTTTTTATTAATGCTGTTTCCAATTTCCGATGGCAGTTAACAGTGTCATTTCTTGCTTCGAACGCTTGCTAAACCTGTGCCCCCCAGGCCAAATAATGTTCTCACTCCACGATGTTGATGCTTTCAACTATGTGCAGATCGATCTCTTGCTCTGGCCTTTTCTTCTATGCCAAAGAATACACAGTCAGGTCCCCAAATCTTGCTTTCTTAATTTACTACCTAAGTTACCATTTGTATCTATTCCTACATTTCAAGAAAAACTAGAGAAGTTTATACCTTACTTCGAATGTTCAGGAAACTTGGCAGCCTGCAGGCTTTGCTTCCAACCCAAACCTGGGTACCTGCTGGGAGAGAAGATATATGAACCCTGGAACACCTGGCTGCTTGTGTCTGTGAATACTGAGGAATGAGAACCGCACCCAGATTCCTTTATATTTCCAGAAGTCCATGGAAAGAATTTTTAAACAAATAGTTAGCTACATCACACACCAACATAAATATGCAGTGATGAAGTCGCTGTGGGTGTGCCTTTAGCGAGAGCATCAGTCATGACACAGACTGCACGGGAGTGAAGACTGTTCCAGTACCAAGAGCTTCTCAATACTTTATTTTTGCTTTATTTTGAGTACTTTGTTTATTAAATGTCAGAACTATAATTTCAACCAAAGGTCCATATTAAAGACAAAATGGAAAAAAAAAATAAAAGGCCCTCTAAATATGGTTTAAACCATTTAACATGGTAAAAGCATTTCATACCATCCCTAATAGAAGAGTCGGATACGGCCTGGCATGAGTCGGTCCTTACCAACACAAACACCGTAGTGACACAGTCAACAAACACTTCAGGGCATAGTTCCTGGCCCCTGCAGACTGAGGACTGTCTCCAAGAGCTGGAGGAGACCTCTCCAGTACTTCCTGTCTCAGGCCCTGAGGGCAGGAGTGATTCCCCTAGCCAGGAGGCAAGAGGGCAGGCTGTGAAACACAGTCAGGCTTGACAGCAGAGCATCCCTGTCTACCTGGGAGGTCCTGCTGTAAGCAGAGAGTGTGCAGAGGCTGCTGTAACTCTAGCCCTGCAAGAACTGAGAAGGTCTTGGCTCAGGCAGGATTAGGGGCTTCTTAGCTTGCAGGCGTCCCTGGAAACATCACAGTGAACATTAACACATTGAAAACCCCAAGAAGTCCCAGGGCGAAGGCATGCATGGACTTCCAACCCGAGCTGCACATCCACTTACAGGCTGAGGCCCAACTCTTCCTACTCCTGTGCCTGACTCTGCCGGGGATACATGGTCAACTGTGATTGGCGTAGGATGGATGGCAGGGTGTCATGTGATCTGAGAAAGAGCACTGTGATGTTCCGGCTCCGCTTGGCTATAATTTGTCCGTTTGGGGCCTAGCTGACCCTGCAGTTGACCAGCCAGCTTTTGGGACTTCAAAGTGGCTACTTACAGTCAGTCCCAGAGAATGTTTTTGTACTTTGATTGTTTGTCTCATTGTCTCTTTATATCCACCCTATCCCCCAAAGAATGTAAATGAATTTACAAAGGTACACACTCACACATACACACTCACACAAAACAACGTGAATTAAAAATGGATAGTAAAAAAATAAGAGTAATCTCACAGAGATCATTTGATTAAATCATAATTATGTAATTATTATCTGTTTTATAAGTCACAGTCAAATATAACCAGTTCCACAATAACAGAATCTTGTTTGTGACTTTTTGTAGAATTTAAGCAAGTCTCGTATATGAACGCATGAAAGACAGTGTCCACTGTCCTCTGTGGATCTTTCTATGCAGCATGTTTTTGTGTGTGACTGTCCACACCAAGGCTGTAAACTTTTCCCACTGTCTTGGACTCAGGCCTTGCTTCAACGTGAGGGAATCGTCCCTGGTCCTCATCTGAGCATGGGCTGGGAGCCTTCTGAGAACTTCTGTCCCATTCCTGGGTGTAGGTGGCTCATTCCACTTGTCCTGAGTTGACAGTGGCTGTTTTCTTGTCTCCTTCCCCTGCGGGGCTGCAAACCTTGACAATGGAGATTTTACCAGATTCTTTCTCTGTGCTCCCAGTGCTTAGTCATGGAATCCTCAGGCAATATTTATCGAGTCCACATGCATTGACATGAAAGGCAAAAGTTTTGCTGT